ATTTTTATCGATTTTCTAGATGTGGCTAGGTTGCGTGTTTGCTCTGGAAGGTAGATACCACGTGTCACTCTTAGGAGGGGTTCGTGTTAGTTTAAGTGGTGGCAACTATTGCTGCTGCTTTATAATGACGAACTTGGTTGGTGGTGTAGTTTTTGTTATAAATATTATTTATAACTTGCTTTTGTTGGTTTTGGTGGGTGTACTGTTAGTTTTAAGAGTTTTTCTTTATTTGCAAAGCTAAAAATTTAGCTTTTTTAATGCAGTAATTGTTAACTGTAGGCCACTAAGTAGTACATCTGATTGAGTAGTTTTATTCGCCCTATTTTGAAACGCCTTACACGCGAAACAATACAAGCGAAATCACACTGCGGAGCTTGAAAGTTCAGTAAAATAAAGAAACAAAACCACTTTTCTTATTTTATTCAAATTCTAACACAAAAAACGTTTGTAGTTTATTGCACTTTTGATTTTCGAAATCAACTGAAAATATTGCAATGTCTTGACAAAAAAAAAAAATCACGTTAAAAAGTTCTGCTTTTATTATGTCAAAAATTAAGTACAAAATTGAGTACGAATCACGTTAAGTTTTTAGAAAATTGTCTTCACTTTTTAATTTTAATTGAAATTTAAAAATTTGAAGCGCACTGTTCGCTTTTGCTTGAAAATCTAAGAGTTCGTCGCAGATACTGTGGCCTTTATATACGGCGGTCGTCATGATCGACCAAGCGCAGAGCAAACGAAACAACTGTTCACACACACGCACACCAACGTGACTTGCGATATGCATACAGAATTCAAATCTTGACTATACAATCTATACACACATGCAGCTACATACCGAACAAAACAAAACAAAACAGAGAGAAACCTACAGGGAGAGAGAGAGAGAGAGAGAGAGGAAAAAAAGAGTGTCGAAGTCACACAACGAAGAAGGTAAGTGAAACGCTGTGACGTCACTAGCAAGTAACCCACAGTGTGAAAGAAATCAGCTGCCTAGCAACTAACAGCAACAGTGACAACAAGCAACGAAGTTGAAGGAAATGAAAAGCATATATTACGACTTACTAAACAATGAAAACTGTTGATTGTTGATAAAAAAGGAACTTATGGGAAAATTAGTGTAAAAGCAACTGTTAAATGTCTGGGATTTGTATATTATATAGAAAATTAAAGAAATTAGAACTTAAATAGACAACAATTAAAATGCAAACGATATAAATCTTAGTTGTGTTAGTGTCATTTGTGTAAATGTTGAGTAAATTATATTTTATTTCTTTATTTTGTTTATTAATATTTTTGTTTTAATTGCATATTTACAGCAAATGTATATGTTGTTCTTTAATAAACTGTTGGTTGCCGCTCTCAGCGACTCTCGTTCTCAAACAAATAACGGCCTCTGTTATTTAGTCATATAATTGTCATTGCCATATACTATATGTTAGATCACAAACTCTGAGAGAGTTTACACATACAAATTTAGAGATAAATTTTATTACTATTTTGTTTTTATTTTGTATTCATTTGACGACCCAAATTTCATATCATTTCAGTTAAATTTTTGCTGAGTAAATGCAAACAATATGAGAAACTGAGTGTAGAGTGAGAGTGAGAGTGGCGCAAGATCATGCTGTCGCATACATCTGTGTAAAGTATTAAGCGTGAGATTAAATTGAACACCTCAGCAAAAATGTTAGAAAAATTATTTAATATACATTTTGATTGTATGGCTATCGTTCAGATCATCGCTCCATTCAAATTTAAAATAATATAAAATAATATAATTAAAAAGATAATTATATCAATGTATTTATTTGAAATTAGTATAGACTATATGTAAATGAAATCCAATTAATTAAAAAAAACATTAAAAATAATTTATACCATAATTATAATAATAAATTTATTTGAAAGTAACAAACGCATAATTTGTTTGAATTAATGTATTTATTATAAATAATTAAAATAAAATTGAGTTAAATAATTAAAATTAAGTTAAAATAATCAAATCAATAAGTAGTTCAATTATTACAGTGCTTAATTCGACTTCACAAAATAGGATTTTTTTATTATTTTTATTAGAATATTTTTTTTTATACTTATATTTCAAAAAAATTATTAGTATAAAGAAATTCTTATATCATTTACATTTTCAAAATCAAATATCATATGACGAAAATATTTGTGAAATTTCCTGTTTCGCAATGCCAACTCCCTCTTTTATGATTTAATTAATTAATTAATTTAAAATAAAAATCCTCAATATCTTTTGCCAAAGTTATGCAGTCTAACATTAATATTACCCTTATAATGAGTTGAACTGAACTACATATAGTAGTAGTTCAGTTCATCAGATTTAATTATATATTTTTGAACGGTTTGATTAATCAATAATTTGAATACGACACATCTTCAGGAAAAATGACTATAGATTATAGTTGAAATATTAGTGCCAATAAAATATTTTTTTTTTTAAATAATTAAACAAATTGTTTATTATTTACACAATGGTCCAACAAGCCTCTTCAAAAATATATAACAGGTTTAATTAAATACAGCTTTTTGAAAAAATCAAATAATATACTTAGTAGTATAGTAAAAGAAGAAGTGAATAGAAGTAGTAAAAGTAATATGCTTTTACTGATACAGAGTGTCGGTACTCTCAAATGCACCTATTAAAGTAATCAAAATCCAAATTGCAGGTAATAAAATAAATTAAAATGTATACAACAGCCAGTATACCAGCTAACAGCATTAAACGGAATTATATCAAACAAAAAAGTATCTGCTTAGAAACTTAATTTTTTTAAGTAAAACTAAAAATAGAATAAAATCGAAAAATTTTAAATTTTTAAACAAAAATAAAAATAGAATAATAATTTCCACAAAAAAATTCTATAGAAAAAGTACAAATATTTTCAATATTACAAACTAATGTTATCAGTTCATCAACGATGGCTTAATGAACTATTGAATATCAACGTTTTTGATTCTATTATAGAAATATGAACACAATAAATACTTTATAAGGAAGGTAGCTAGAGCTTTATTTATAAATTTATTATGAGTATAGACTTACATATAAGACCAGTCTCATTTAATGGATATTTTTGAATTCTAATTTAAGGTTTATTTGAAAAAAATTTGATTGAAAAATATTAATCATATCTAGTTTATATTGATTAAAAATGTTTTAAATAGGTTTGAACACATAAGCCTCCACGTGTATACTCCAGTTGATATGACTTATTAAAATGAGTATTAAAATCTTATGTTATAACTATGAAATTAGTGATATGAGAACGAAAATATATAGTATCTTACTATAATGAGTTACTATAATAAGAAATATATCGTAAAAAGAAATAGTTTGATATAGCAAATAGGACGAAGCTTTCATTAAATAGCAATTGGATTCTGACAATGGTAGTCTGATTTATAATTGTATTTACTGATAATTAAACCTGTATCCAACCCTACCATAGAGTTTCCTAATACTAATTAAATATACATTATAGTTTTTTAACAAGAAGAATCACAAATAACATATTACGTATGTATATATATTCATATTGCATATATACATATATAGACATATCGTATATATATTATATATATATATACATTATAATTACATATAGGTACAATATATAATATTACAACAGGAAATGTTGAAATTCATTAGATAAGAGACGTGTGCAACTCTAAGTATATACTGCACATGTAGTTAATAGATATCTATATCTGTCATGATTTTACGGAATAACAATATTTGTTAACATTAAGTAAAAACTA